CGACTCTGCAGCGTTGAAGGACCTCACAGGAATATGTTGTTCATGGGGGGGTCCTCCATGCGGAGGGCCCCAGGAATTGGTCGCATTCGCATTATTTCCATAGCCCCGGTGTGGGTGCCGATCTTGTTGATGTCCTCCTATTGACCGGTCGCGCAGGTTTCCGCTTTGGTGTCGCTGCCCGATTTGGCGATTCTGGTCATAACCACGCCCACCGCGCCACCTGGCAGGAAAGCTTTTTTGTTAGCAAGCCCAAATTCAAGTGAACTGTAAATGCGAGTTGGAAGATCGTATACACACATACCGATCATCACCGGCACCGCTCATTGTGGCACTAGAGCTGGTGGAGAGAATGGCCTTTCAGCTCTGAGGATGTAGTCTCTCAGGCGAGGAGGCATCCATGGATCTCAGGGTTGTTCCTGTGCTAAGTGCTAAACAGTCAGGTGGTTTGCGCTTGTGGTGTCTGTGGCACTAACCTTAATACAGCTAGAGTATTTCTCCTGCCTCCAATATCAAGAAACCCTTCAAACCCGCCCATCCAGAAGACAAAGAGAACTGCTACAACTGCAGAACTGGTGGCATCTGGTGCGGATAGTTCCCTATCCGTGGCTATACCGTTATGGTAAGGAGTTCGCATTCAAACGTCGTGTTACGAGCATTCCAATCGCCAAATTCACTCGCCATCTTCTTAATCCAAATCACCACGAAACCCAACCGGTATTGACGACTTGCGAGTCTTCTTCCGAAGCCACTACCTTAACTATGGCGCCACTGTCTTCCTCAAAGAGAACCACAATCCCGCGAACTCCTCGACCTCAATCAAAAAGCCTGAGAGCTATCCAGAATGCAGATCAAGCCACCAACAGTGAACCTCCCCCAAAGAAACGGAGATATGTTCCCGGGGGACCAGGCGGTGGAGGAAGATATGTAGATGTTGATGGGAACGAAACACCTGCGGGATTAGTAAAGGAAACCACTGCTTCGCACTATACGACTCCTCGAGTTCGACCTGTTCGCGAACCTTCCCGCAATAACGTGCGGCGAACACAGCCTGCCACCTCTCCTGTTTCTACTCGACCCAGGCGCGAGAAGAACCAAGCGAGAAGGTACAGTTCTGCTGCGGCCGCTGCCCTTGCTGTTGCACAAGGCGACGGTTACAAACCTAGAGAAGAGAGGGGCTGGGAGGAATTCCATCCAGACCTTGACATCGACATCAAAATCGCTGTTTTCAGCTCTGATGAAGTCGACGGAATCAAGCCTAACTCTACGCTCCCAAATGGAAACTCAAGCAGAGGGACTGACGAAAGCGGAGACAGCGCCGTCGAATTATCAACAAATGGCTCTACTCCCGCAAAACGACGGCCAGGGCGTCCACGGCTAAGTGAGACCTTGACGAATGGAATTGGGACACCTAGCGGACCGAAAATTGTGCCCCCTCCCGGACCTAATCCCCGTGAAAAACTTACCTTGCCGAAACCGTCGTTTGTCCTTAAGGATCCTTTTCTTCCATTCGAGCAGAAAGGCGTGGGACAACAAAATTATGTTGACCGCACCATGGCGAGCGTTGGTTACCAAGAAAGTGATATTTTCCTTCGTCATGAACGGCGATTAATTCGTATGGCTGAAGGTGCCGCTGAGGAAGACCTGGATTTAAACCCGCCAACGCCCGTCGACGGTGATGCCAACGCTGCCATTGGAAATATTGGAGTTGGTAGAGTGGAATATGATATGGATGAACAGGACGCCAAGTGGCTAGAGACATATAATGCGCAGAGGAGGGAGGGACAGTTTGAACCCATCAAACCTGCTATTTTCGAGATTACCATGACAAAAATTGAAAAGGAATGGTATGCTTTGGAGAAGCGTATACCCAAACCAAACCCCAAACCGCCACAAACACAACGACCCCGCTCTAGCTCTGATGCGGCTGTTAACGGCGAGCACACTGGTCCTGGCGAGGAACAGGATAGCAAATGCGCAATTTGTGATGACGGTGATTGTGAGAATGCTAATGCAATAGTATTCTGTGATGGATGCGATCTCGCGGTTCACCAAGAGTGCTATGGTGTGCCGTACATCCCCGAAGGCCAATGGTTGTGTAGAAAGTGTCAGCTGATTGGACGTGGATCTCCGTCGTGCATCTTCTGCCCCAACACTGAAGGAGCTTTCAAGCAAACGAACACCTCGAAATGGTCACATTTGCTTTGTGCAGTGTGGATACCCGAAGTCTCGATTGGCAACCCATCGTTGATGGAGCCGGTAAATGAGGTTGAAAAGGTTCCCAGGAATCGTTGGAAGCTTATATGCTATATCTGCCGTCAGAAAATGGGAGCATGCATCCAATGCAGCAACAAAAATTGCTTTGTTGCATTTCATGTCACTTGCGCGAGACGGGCTCACCTCTATCTAAAGATGAAACTAATACCGGGAGCTCCTGCAGTCATGGAATCGAACAGCCTAAAAGCATTTTGTGACAAGCATGTCCCACCAGACTGGAGAAGAGAACATAATACCGATGCGGCAACTGCAGAGGCCTTGGAATATTATCGCAACACGATGCAAGGCCGAAGGTGGGGTGATAGTCAGGCTGCTGCTTTGGCTTTGGGTACGGATTCTCAAGATGACCCTGCTGTAGAGGACAATCGAGCAATTACACCCAGGATTACGCTTACAGTAGGCGGGAACAAACGCAAGCGCACAGCTCCAAAAACTATTTGGAAGTTACCCTCTGGAGCACCGGTTATTCCTCAAGTTGTATTGAATAGTGTTATCGCGTCTTTACAGCGGTTTACCGTCCGACAAAGGAAGCAGTATGCTGAGGACGCTTGCAAGTATTGGACGCTAAAACGAGAATCTCGTCGGGGTGCAGCGTTGCTGAAACGGTTGCAGCTGCAACTTGAAACTTTCTCATCAGCGGAAATTACACGACGGAATTTTGCGGCAATGGGAGTGGTCGGAGCCGTTAGACTTGAGAGAAGGATAGCATTCGCAGATAGGCTTTACTTGGATCTTGACAGAGTTAGAATGCTGTGCGATGAAGTGAAGAAGCGAGAGCGAGAAAAGCTGAAAGACGCGGAGATACTACGAAGTATAGTTGATCTGATTTATTTCCCCATTCCTCCAATGCTATGGCCATTACTTGAAAAATCTATTGCGTACGTATACTGTATTCCTTGAAGCACATGCTATTTTTGGCCACTAACATTTTTTTTAGACTCGATGGGAAAGCGGTTTTCCGCTCCGGGCTGCTATCTATCCGGTCAAAACTGGAGCAACGCGTGTATACTTCAGTTTCATCATTTTCTCGTGATCTTGCCAATGTCTTTACCTCTGAAATAGGGGTTGAATCTGTGGGTGATACAGCTGAATTACAGTTGCAGATTATGGAGCGAGCGCCAGAACTTAGCTTGGAGCAAAGGGAAAAGAGAAAACTTGCGAAGCGGATCATCAAGGCGATACAGCCAGCTTTAGAAGATTCGCTGAGAAAGGAAAGCGAGTTGAGCGGAAAGCCTTTTGAAAAGGAACTGAAAGATTTGGATGACTTGTTGGAAAATAGTGTTCACTCACGGAGGGCTTCCATGGCTGCCACGCCCAGGGAGACGACAAATGACGTCGACATTACAAAACGATATCAATTAGTGAATGGAAAAAAGACTGATCCGGAAGATGATTGGATACCGGCACCAGAAACCGCGACAGAATCTCAGCCTGCTGAACCTGAGGAACGGATTGAAAATGGAGATCAAGATGTTACTATAGTCGATGTGAATGGGGAAACAGCTAGTGGCCATGAGGCCAAGGGAGTTCCGGTTTCAAAAACGAATGGGCTTGCTATATCAATTCCTACAGTGATCTCTCCCGTATCTCAGCCTACGGATGGCAGAATCAATAATGAAGCGGCTGGTTCATCTCGTGATGGACGAATGGCTTCTCCGACCTCCCCGGTCTCCCCGGCTGATTCTCTGGTTAGCAAAGACCCACCTCCTTTATCTTTAGGTGGTATACAGTGGTATATGCAGCCGTTCGATCCTATCGGGACTACCGTTCATGAGGAGAGATGGACCGGCCGAGAAGTGCTTAGAGGAATGAGTGAAGAGCTAAGTGAAATCGGCGAAGACGAGCTACGGGATCTCGTCGGGGATGAGCCTCCAGATTACGCCCCAGATTTATTAAGCGGGGTCCCTGGAACTAATCGTGATGTTGACATCCCCGCGGATGCCGCTGTCGCTGACGCTTTGAAACCAAAAACGCACAAGACGCGAAGGAGATGGAAAGGTTTTAGATAGAAGAAGATAAAAAGAACTAAATTACAGTGGGCTGCCTGGAAAATATTGAGTTTCTAAGCTTCTTCTAGGCACTGAGTGCAGTTTCCCATTTTTATATTTGTGTTTTCTATCCATTTCCGCAATTTACCTGTCTCCTATTTTTTCTCCATACCCACTTTTTACTTGAATTTTGGGGCGGGTAGGGATTAGGATTTCACGCTTTCGGATTTTGTTTAATTAGAGGAGTTTCGGGTAGCTGGTAGTTAGCAACCTACGAATTAAGTTGATTTGTGGTCTTTAGATGAATACCTCAATCACATCCAAGACATTGATTCAACATGCAATCATCCATATCACCCTCAGCTCATTTCCACTCCCCCGGCCAATACTTTTTGCCCTTTGGCGGAGCCGCACAGTTTGTTTGGGCCTGGATTCTTCGGATGACGCTAGTCCTTACTGGGTCAACCTAAGATCCTCCAAAGCGCTAAGGTGACCCTTGACCTTTTTTTTCACTCCATCAACAAACCCATCAACGAACCACCAACAAAGGGGACTGATTCCTCCTCGTTTCTTTTGATCGTCTCATTCCTCTCGAGCAGATCCGTTGTTTGACGTCCTTGTTTCTTCCCTCCTCCCCCGCTGTGTCCCTTCGGGTGAATCTCATTCGTCTCGACAAGTGGCCAAAGTGTCCTACTCCATTTCTTCTCGCTCCATCCCCTTTAAAATCACCACAAGTCAATGGCTACTATGGAATACGAAACGGAGAATGGTCGCTTTGACGGTATGCATTGATATCTATAAAATACACCTATGTCTGTAGACTAATCCTTTAGGCGAACCCCGGTTCGATCGCGAGCGTAGCGCCTCACCGAGAGGCAATGCGAGACGCGGAGCTCGAAACCGAAGCATGTCTCCAAATGGCCGTGGTGATCATCTCCGGTAAGTTTAACGCCTGTTTTTGTTTTCATTTTAAAACAACGGAGTTTTGGCAGCTAATATCATCCTAGTGTACCCCAAAATGATCGGCTGGTGAAAATAAGCGACGACGATGAAGGAAGCGTCAATACTGGTTCCAATCTCTTCGTTACCGGTATCCACCCGCGACTTACCGAGTCGGATGTTTCCAGGCTCTTTGAAAAATATGGCGATGTTGAGAGCTGCTCGATTATGGTTGACCCCCACACCAAGGAGTCGCGTGGTTTCGGTTTCGTAAAGATGGTAACTGCAGAGCAAGCGGACGCTGCAAAGGAAGGCCTTCAAGGTGAAGTCATTGAAGGGAGAACTCTTAGCATTGAGAAAGCTCGTCGTGGCCGTCCACGAACGCCAACCCCCGGCAAATACTTTGGTCCTCCTAAACGTGGGACATCTTGTGCGTGTTTCTCTGAAATTAGAAACTTTTTATCACGTGGCTGACGTGCTATATAGACGCTCGTGGCCCGCCCCGTGGCGGCCGTTATGACCGTTACGATGACCGTCGGGGAGGATATGGTGGCGGGGGAGGGCGTCGATCCGATGATAATTACCGCTATGGCCGTTATGATTCGTATAACGAACGTAGTCGAGATTACGGTCGTCGTGACTTCCGTGACGACCAATCCTACCGTGGTATCGATCGTTATGCGACATCAGGAGGTCGCGAAGGAGGTCGTGAAGAGAGGTACGAGCGTCGTGGTGGCGGTGATGACCGCCGTGGGGATGATCGTCGTGGCTATTACGATCGCGACGATGCTCGTTCACACCATTCTTCCGCTTATCCTGACGCTCCACCACCTCCCCGCGAGTCCCGCGATCCATACGGAGGCCGTGGCTACGAAGGCCGTGGTGGAGATGATCGATATGGCGCGAGATAGGTAGGTAAAAATGATTAAGAAAGCTTCAAATCGTGGCCTGGCATCATGGCCATTAGCCGCTTTTTAGACTGCTTTCTTTTTTCTCTACATTCTTTTGTTCTACTTGTGTCTTCTATTCCATTTCTCTTTCTGTATTCCAGGAATGGTTTATGTCACTTCTCTCGATTGAGGGTCAAGATCGACGGTTACGGCGGCGCTTCTCTATTTTGTCTCTGAAAAGTCAACTTTTCACACATTCATGGTTTGTCGGCGAATACGGAAAGTTTTCTTCCAACCTCGTACGATCCGATCAGCTCCATGCTAACTTATTGCTGTGATACGTCTATCTGGTTGTTTCTCCTCTTTCTTCTCGCACCGAAACGCAAATTAGCGGCGGATTGAACAAAAAAAAAAAAAAAAACACAAACACAAAATGTCTACCTGTAACAGCCTCGGTTTTTCTTATGGTCAACACTATACTTCAGTTTCAGCTATGGTCGTTGTCGATAGTCAACTTTATTCGCCGTGTATCCTCTATTCAGTTTCAGATAACGGTTTTCCCAATGGTTCGCCCAAGACGAGCAAAGATATCAGCTCAATATTCCCAAGTACCACAGGAAAACTTCCCGCTTCACGTCTTCACGTCTGCAAAGACCAAACACAATTTTCTTGGAGCCGGACTCAAATCTGCCATTATATCGCCATGCGTGTACTCGTAGTCGCCATTTCCTTTTGGGTCGGTTTCTTTGATAATAGTCACCTTTAATCAAAGTTTCAATACGCCGTAAAGATTGTCTATGTCCCTTTAAGGTTGGTCAAAGCTCCATATCC